GCTTTGTATAAATGTGAGGGAATAATCTTTAAAGTTTAAATTGAAAATCAATGATAATTAGACAATATAATTTTCTCAAAACAAAATCTTTAAGAATATTTGGTTTTCAATGTAAGGTTTCATTTATGATTAATTATGTTAAATTTTTTTGAATTGTCCCAAATTATATAAAATTATACACCATACTTAAGTAAACCAATACCAAGATTTAAACACACTTCAGTTAATTTATAACAAATTAGTTATGTTAAAATCTAATTTTGGTCACTTAACTTTTGTATGGAACCATTTTTCTATCCTTCAACCAAAGGTTTAAGGGCACAAAAAATGCATCCAGATTACAATAAAAAGAATAATTACAACATATATTGGATATCCCTTTATTCTTTTTTTTTTTTATTAAACACCTCAACAATAAGAAAATATAACACTACTAATTTCATAATTGATATGAAGTTACACCAACTACTATTATGGTAAAATAAATGTATCTATGCCAAAAAAACTCCCTTTACTCCCTAAATAAAACCGCCATCAACTAAATTACAAACTCCTATTTCAACCCATAACTCATTCCATTATAATAAAAAATGTCTAATGGTAACGAGACGAGTGTAATCTAAAAAACTAAAATATTAAATATTTAAAAAGCCTTTTATATTTGTTAAGAGATCTATCAATACATCTTAATATTACTCAAACTGTGAACTTAGCTAAACATTTATATGCACTATAATAAATTATAGATCCATATTTTCTTTAACAATTTATAGAAAATTATAATTAATGATCAAACCCTTTACATCCTTTCACACAAATTAAGCAACATTCTACATGCTAACTAAAAATTTTAAGTACACACAAGGCATAGCATCGAACCTTATTTCAATTGAAACTTGAACAGAGACTACAGAGGGCTAATTTGCATAATTTGCCTAAAATTAGGTTCTATTTGGTTAGAATGTCAATTTTACAAAGAAAGTTTTTACTAGAAAAGTGATTAGGAAAGAATTGTGTGAAAAATTGATAAATATTGTATAAAATGTTTATAAATTTTATATTGAAATTTTGTTAAAATTTTATTGAGTTATTAATTTTTTTGTGTTTGATAAGACATTACTATAGTAAATGTTTGTAAAAAAGTTATCAAGTGTATTCTACATATAACAAGTTAGATGAAACTTTTTTCTTTCAAAAAAATGTGAAAAAAAGTTTACAAATTAGAAATAATATAAGAATAATAAAGGTTTAAAAAATTATTTTTATTTTTTTTATAATATTTATGAATAAAAATATATAAATAACTTTTTAAGACAGAAGGAAAAAGTTTATACTAGTTGAGATAAAAGTCATTCGGCAAGGGGCAACAAAAACACCCACTAAGGTTTTAGGCTCTGGCCCATCTCGGGCAAATCTTGTCGGTGTTGGGCCTAAATTTTTGTCCATTGCCTTTTTACACCGTCTCAACTCTGTAAAGAGTCACAAACTGTTGGATGAGCAATTAATTCAACGAGCAAGAAAGCCGCAGTAATTTATCTCCATTTTCCGCTTACTCTTTTCCGATTCTGCATCCACGGTCCACGCTCATCATTTCCGGTTGTAGTTCCACGGAAGAGATGACATTGAACCAGGCGGCAGCGTTAAAGCTCGGATTAGGGCTATTGGGTCTCTGCTTGTTCGGCTACATAGTGGGTCCGCCTCTGTACTGGCACTTCATGGAGGGCTTAGCTGCTGTCAGCCGCTCCTCCAATACTTGCCCTCCCTGCCTCTGCGATTGCTCCTCTCAGCCTACCCTCTCCATCCCCGAAGGTAATCTGGTGTAACTAATCCAATTTCTAGATCTGGGTTTGATCTTTCTAGCTATTTATTCTTAGATTTGTATTTATGCTGTATGAATTTGTTAATCCAATCTTCTGATCTGTTGCGGTCTAATATGGTCTCCGCTGGGAAGTCCGGAATCCCATGCTTGCTACTGTTTTCACTGTACATGTACATCATTCACGCATTTTATCAGTTCTTCAATTATGGTGTTTCTAGTAAAAGCAGCTTTATTTTCCATCAACTGAGAGTTAGGAAACACATTAATAGAATAGTTACTACAAATTTCAATTGAAAACAATAATAGGTTTGTTCTAGTGGATGGAAGCTTCAGTGGTTCTTTACTTTGACTAATCTATTTGCAATTGCCCCTAACCCCAATATGCCCTGGATCTTTGCTACATGCCACGACAGTATTGATATGGGTGCAATGTTTTAAAATTTTTATCTGTAAGTTTTTGCATCAAGTTCAATGCCCAAGAGGCATTTCTGTATGAATTCAAGGCGTTTGACATGTCACTGATGAAGTGCATAGGTGAAGGTGAAGGTGAAGAAACCGTGAAACAAAGCTTGGACTGCTATAATTAGTATATTTGAAGCAATCGTATGATTTCCATGATGATCTTTCTTCTTGTAACTTGCATCCCCTACAAACATTTGTCTGTGAAATGCAATAATCCTGGTGTCAGATGCATGGAATAGGAGTCTAATTACTGGAACATCATCATATAAGTGCATACATACTTGTTCATAATGGTCAAAATAATTTTTGAAACATTTGCCTCTGTTCATTGCATGGTCATGCACTCCTGCATTGTTCATCTTTTTTCTTTATTTATCTAGATAGTCCTCTAGTTTTCATTATCTTGAAATGCCACGTAACCTCTGGTCTAAATGTGTTATGTTACCAATGTCGTTTCAAATTGCAAACATTTCTTAAACTCAGTGCTAAGATTTATATTAAATTATGTTCAATGCATTTGATACATTAAACTTGAAAAGATTACTAATGTATGATTTTCTGTCTGAAATTGCACAGGACTCAGCAATGGTTCCTTTGCAGGTCAGTTTCTATCTAAGAATCTATTGATTTGTATTTGGAATTAAGTAGCTTTATATTTGGAATTAAGTAGCTTTATTGTGATTGTCCCCATTACAACAATATAATGATGTCAATAGACATGGTAACAGTAATCGTGATTATTTAGTTTATTAGAAGTAGTAGTTGTGCTGTTACTTGCTTTATTTGTTGCTACCCTCAGCTGGCTTTTCTTCATACATCTAGCCACTGAGTGTGGGTTTATCTGGTTGTCTGAGGAACATCACTTGTTTCTTCAAGTGTTTAGTTTGATGGTATACCATTTTCCTTTAATGATGTGCACCTCTTTATTATTGTTGTTTTTTCTTTTTTTTTTGACCAGTCTCTATCCCTCCTTTTTGTTCTTGCCTTTTCGTTGAGAAATGGACTCATACCTTAAAATTCTTTGAAGTGCATGGTGAATCAATTATTTTCATAATTTCACTTATTCTTATCACGGCAAAGGGAAAAGAAAAAATCCACTCTCTTATTTTCTAGTGCAGTTCTTAATTTCTTATTGATGTTATGTAAAAGAAAACAAAAACATCAATTTCTCTTTTAAATATCCAGATGAATCATAAGACACAAGGAAGTTGCATAATTGGTACTAACCACTTACTATAATGTTTCTATGCTTCGTGGTTTTCCTAGTAATTAAGATAAAGATTATAAAACTATATACCTATATCACTACACCTATGAGAAAACATAATAAAACTGTGCTTTTCTATAAAATTAACTGACAACCACTAGGGTTCACCTTTATTTCTCCTTCCACCTTAAGCTATCAGGTCCTAGAAAGAAAAATTGATAGATTTTGGATTAAATGATCAAAAAACTGTTTTATAATCCAGACTGTTGTAGACCGTAAAACATTGACCCTTGGATGAGGGATGGGCCCCTGATATTGGGGGTCCTTCCCCTATCCAAGGGTCCTTGTTTTACAGTCCAGACTGTAAAACAGTGAACTCTTAAATGATTGATACTTGATTTTTATAAATGAGCAATAAATTGTATTGCTCCAAACATCTCCAAACATTAACCCCACTTGGGGTCCAATACACTTACACTGGGCATAGCCAGGTGAACAAATACATCAAATGGCAATTAACTCCTTATTTTGGTAAATAAATACCAGGTAACTTCAAATGTGCAGCTATAAGCTTAACTCCCTTTTCTACTCAGGCAGCTTCATTCCTAGAAAGTCACTTGCTTCTTTCTGACTTTGAAAAATACAGAGTAGCAATAAATGTTGCTTTTAAAGTGGTGGTCCTTTGATTCCTATTGCTACCCCTTCTCTGAATGTATTTCCATTCTCTATCCCAATGTAAAGGAACATGCTCCCAGCCAGCTTCTCTAAGGATCCTCTTCCATACTTCCCTACAAAAAACACAGGAGAAGAACAAATGCCCAGCCTCTTCCATGCAACTTTGCAGAAAATACAAGTGGTGTCAAGAACCAAACCTCTGCATGCTAAGAGAGCAATCTATGTACACATAGGTAGGGTTCTAAGTGTTTTATTGGTACCTAGTTTTATTCGGATTAGATCTTTTATTTAAAAGTCCTCTTAGGTGTTTGAGTATTTATCTTCTTCTTCTTCTTCTTCTTCTTCTTCTTCTTCTTCTATTTTTATTGTCTTAGTCCTGTTAGAGTAGGAATTCTTTTTCTTGTTAATTTAGGAACCTTAGGATTATAAATATGCTTGTAACTTCTTTCATTATTCATTCTAATCAATAATATTGAGAAATTTCAGCATGTTATGCTTTGAGATTGTGTGGTGCAACATACGTTGGTGTGATGCTTAAGGGTTTCTATCCTCTTTAAGTGTGATGTATAAAACCCAAGTGTGACTTCTAGGATTTTTCTTTCTCCTTATTCTTCTGTTTCTTTTTCCCTTTTTCAATAACTTAAACATCTACTTAAACGCTATTTCCTTGTTCACGTGCACCATTCACAGCCTAAATTTACCCCATACAGCATCTACATCCCTAAGCCTACCATACTCCCAGCCTGTCCCATGTCATAATGCCTCTTTAATCTGTGCTATATTATAAGCCCATATGCTCAAGCTAGAGCTGTCTGGAAGATGAAGAATCAGAAGATCACATAATGGCATGACAGTCCTTTTTTAGTCTTCTTGTTTGGCTATGCTTTTGTTTGGTATTATTCCTTTCTCAGTGCCATTGCATAACATCAGCATCTTGTAATGCAGGTGAAAAATCCATTTGAAAACTACTAAACTGTGGCTAACATATTTTACAAAGTTGGATATGGATATTGGATGTGATGTGATGTTCAATGAACTATTCTGGCCCTTATAATTATTCTTTCTTTTTAAAGAATTCTATGAGTTGATAATTGTGGTTAAAATGTGGGATAGATGGGTTTTTTTTTTTTTCTCTTCTTTTTGAGTTTTCTTTTTCGTTGGCAGTGGGGGGAGTGAGGAAGGAATCTGAGACTCTTGGTTTTATGGTTTAGTTTGATGGTTTTCTATAATCAGGATCTTTGAAGTTTTTTTGCATTGAACTATTATGCAGATTGTGCAAAACATGATCCTGATGTAGGTGAAGACACTGAAAAGAACTACGCTGAGCTGTTGACTGAGGAACTGAAGTTACGAGAAGCAGAAGCCTTGGAAAATCAGCAGCGTGCTGACATGGCTTTGCTGGAGGCTAAGAAGATAGCTTCTCAATATCAAAAGGAAGCAGACAAGTGCAACTCAGGCATGGAGACATGTGAGGAAGCAAGGGAGAAAGCTGAAGCAGCACTAGTAGCACAGAAGAAACTAACAGCAACGTGGGAAATGAGAGCCCGTCAAAAGGGATGGAGGGAAGGGGTTGCCAAAACTCAACCTCAAACCCAGGGAAATGCCCAGACTGTCTGATCTCAACCTGAAACACAGGAAATGCCCAGACTGTCTGATAGAGATCCACATTGGCATTATTTGACACAACCAAAGTTATTTGCTTTGCACGGTCCTCCCATATGTTGATTCTGATATAATTTTATGTCTCGCTACACAGCGAATTTTATTTTCATGGATTTGGTAAATTATCTCTAGCGATCTGATTTATTTTATGGCAAATATACGATAAGATTTACTTACTTTATATTTTTTTGAGTAAAATATTATTTAGTGCATTTCTAAATATATCTTTGTACAAAAGATTTTTGTGGTATCAAAGCTCTTTCCCAAAGATTTTCGATCCCTTCTCCATTACAAGTAGAAGTACTGTGAATTATTCTTTATGCGAGAACCCAAAATCCTTTTGGTTCAATAACAGTAAAAAATTATGAGTCTGTCTTACTGTTTAAATTATTTTAAACCGTAAAATGTTAACCTCTAAAAGAGAAAAATTCTTTGATATTAGGACTTTGGTTTTCTTTAAAGATTCATATTTTAGATAATCAAAACAATTTAAATGATAGAACACTCCAAAAATATTACGAAGAATATAAAGTTCTGTAAAATAAGAGGACAACATAATTCAAAACAACTAGTGTGTTTGGTAAACTGTTTTGTATTTATTCACATCACAATTGACATGTTTCATGAAGGTGCCAGATGTCCGCAATGGAAGTCGAGCGGTCATGACTTTTTTCAAGTAATTGAAAATTAAAAAGATTAAATGGCTGCACTTGAGCTTTTGGCTTAATAGCGTCAAATCACGTTTAAAAAATATATATATATTTTTAGGTAACAGTTTGAATTTGATTTTTTGTAAATTTGTTTTAAAAAAAAAAATTAAATGGCTGTGATTTAGTGTGATGATCTCTACGATAAGCAAAATTCTGGTATGACCATGTGTTATTAGTGATGACTTTAATTGGTTTTAGTTTTTCTGATTTGGTAAATTAATAGGTTTTAATTTGATGAGGCTTGGGTGCATTTTCGGCTTGGAGCAAAGCACCAGGTTGGGTCGTAAGAAATGAAGCCCAAATGTAATCCTTGAGCCTTGGTGGAATAGATTAGGGTTATTTATGCATGACCAAAACTGATATTAAAATTTAATTCAAACTAATGCCCAATTTTTGAATTATAAAATTTTAGAATTAATATAAATAATTTGGTTTGTGATTTACTTTTAAATTAATCAAATTGTTTGATTACTAAATAATTTAATTAAATAATATAATGTTTTTATTTTTGTATTTTTTAAATATCTTTTTGAAATATTTTGATAAAATAAAAATATAATATATTTTTAAAATTTCTACTTTTTTTATAAAAATTATATTTTAAATTTTCCTTTCTTCTTTTAGTTTTCCTTTTTTATATAATATTTTTTATAGTTATAGAGTAATATTAATTGTATTAGTTATCATTATTTTATTTTATTTTTGTACTATAATTATACAATATAACTTAATTAATTTAATTAAAAAATAATACAACTTTAAAATGTCCTTTATATAAACAAAAAAAACTCTACTCCCATAACTCTCTACTTTGGTGAGTAGAAACAACGTAGGTTTGTATGTCTTAATTGTCTTATTAGTTCTTACTTTTTTTTTGTTTTGTCATCTTCTTAAATTTTACTTCAATCTAGTAGTTATTATTATCGTTTTATTATTTATGATATTATTATATTTTATAATTGTGTTTCTATAATTTTGTACTTTAATTTTCTTATCTAATCAAATATATTTAACATGATATTAAAAATCAATTAATCACACTGAACTACATTAATCTAATCTAGTTTAAATTAATTTAATCATAATATAATAATAAATTAATTTAATTTAAAA